CACTAAGTAAGTCTATTAATATGTTCATAGTTCGAATCTGGTCATCGGCGCTTATTTAAGTATTTTCAATGATTTAAACGCGTTTATCTAAAATTACAACATGTTTCGACTTAAAAAAACTCAATTTACAGATCGCCTTCTAGATTTGAATTTTTGCGTTTTTATTTATAAAAAACCCGTTGAAACGCATTTTATAAAACAGGCAAATGTTCTAGTGAAATCATGTTCGAAAAAAAAAGAACGCGTTCAAATACACATTTTTTTGAATTTTTTTTCAGGGGTGGGAAAATAGTAACTATTTGATCATTCACCTTTTTTTAAGATCTTCAAAACTCATTCATATCCTATTGTAGAAACAGTACGGTAATTTCATGAAGCTTGATGCTTTTGCAGATTTATTTTAGGACATGTTTCTTCATCCTTCATTTGTATAACTCACAGAAAAATAAGTAGCTCGTACAATATCATTATTGTGACATGCTTCATCGTAGAATGTCAATGATGAAATCGGTCGAAGTAGCTTTTCATGCAAAAAATAAAAGTTTTTATCGACTATGGAATTTATATATTAACATACGTTACTAAACTCTTTTACGAGTATGAAGATATTTTAATCAAAACTGTTTGCAAATAAAATAAGGGTTAGTAATACAATAATTAAATCGAAATAAAATTAAGTCTTTAATATACTAAAGATTTTCTATGCTCGATCATCCAATGAATCAAACCTAAAATCGATAGAAAATTTTCAATAAAAATCAAACACAAAAAACTAAAGATATTCACCAAGGATCAATAGCACCAAGTAAGGATTTAACAATATAGTCACCATACGAAAATGGAAAATTTCCACCACGTGTTCGTTGAATTTCAGCACGTTCCGAACGATAATCATCGATAACATCCACATTAGGTATTAATCTATCCCAATTTGATAAATAGTTTACTGTTGGTAGATCATCGGTGCATGCTAAGAATGTGACATAAGTTTGTTGTGTACGTTCCTGACGTAAAACAGCTTCTAATGCACCGACATCAGGTTGACCATATTCATTTGTCGGTGCTCTAGAAAATAACATTGAAACACATATAGTTTATACTTTTTTGTTTTTCGTTTGTCGTACCCATCAGTAGCAATAAGAATTAATAATTTCTTTTCAAATGTTTGATTACGCTTAGCTGCAATAATTCTTCGTAATGCTGGAACAAGTGGTGTTAAACCTTGTGGAAGCATATTAAATATTTGACGAACGTTGCGTGTATCGCTAACATTAAGCATAGGATCTCGATTTAAGAAATAAACATCAACACCATTTGAATCCATAACAGAGCAGATATCAACAACGATATTGACAAGCTAGATTTGATAACAATAATAATCATCATCATATAAAGCGAAAAATAAATTTATAAATGACACATACAGACTTGAGTTCATCCCATCGTGTTTGATTAGTACCTTGCAATAGTGTATTCATACTGCCTGAATCATCACATAGAACAACAACTTCACAATTTCCAAGTGATTGTAGACGTGCAGCAAATTGTGGATTGATTTCATATTGTCGAATAATTTGATTTAATCGTTGTGCACGTTGATCATTTGACATGAAATTACCCGAGCTAGGACCATAGCCACCGCCTTGTGCTGGTGGATATCCAGCTCCTGGGGGGCCGAAATTTTGTGGGTGCGGATTAGCACCATATGGTTGCTGATTCGACGATGGATAACCTCCAGGTCCAGATCCACCACTTTGTCCCTGAGGATATCCTCCTTGATTGTAAGGGGCACCTCCGAATCCTCCTTGATTATAGGGGACACCACCAAATCCACCTTGATTGAAAGGAGCTGCACCAGCACCTCCAAATCCACCCTGATTACCACCATAGGGTCCTGACATATTTTGTTGATGGCTATAAAAATACGATTAAATGTAAAATCATAGAAGATGTATACTGGTTAATATTGATTTATAGATATAATAATGTCCATTCATAAACTTACAACGTATAAACTCAACAAAATAACGCCTCGTTTTCGTCTCAAGTTTTATTAATTTTATTTAGTCTTACCCTGGTACCATATTGCCAACTCCATAAGGTGGTTGCTGTGGTGGATATTGACCGCTTGGTCCTCCGCCGCGTTGAGTATATTGTTGATTAGGATACATGAATTTTATTTCTGCTTTTTTTCTACTGTCGTCTATTTAATAAAAAAAAATCGTTTGCAAAATGAATAAGCAGTTGACGCACATTAAAATGTCTGAATAATCGCGTATACACAGGATTGGAGAAATAGAATAATTATTCATTCGCTTACGTCCACAACTCTTTTCTATTCTGTTTCTTTTGTCATCGTACCACGTGAACGCCTACGATAGCTTACTCTTTACTTAAGTCTTTTCTAGCAATTTCAGCAATCAAAGAAAAACAAATCAAGGCTTGAAGGGCGTTGAAAGCATTTAAGTGGCATATATATATACACCTTTGCTGTTAAAACCAATCATAGACTAATACTAGTCGACTAAAAAAAAATAAAACCAAATTGTTTCTATTTTCAGAAAGCCGGAAAAGTGAGCATCAATGACTAAGCAACTTGTTTTTGTTTCATGCGAAGACAACTTTATTTTTATTATTTGAATAATTTAAATTTTCTAAGTAAATATTGATATATCGTGTGAAATCCGATCGGAATATAACGAGAGATAAACATGGTCTTTCAATGTATAAAAAAATCTAGAAAAAAAACAAAATGAATTTTAAACGTCCAATTATAACTAAGCTGAGTGTGTAATAAGAAAAAAAATCAGTTGATTTCACTTCGTTTATTAGAAATTAAACTATTTTTTGCCCTCACAAAAAGTAAATATGTAATATCATTCTATGATATTTTAGTTTGTTGTGAATATAATCCTGGCCTCCGATTGCACTTTTTTTAAAATATAGGAATCCTTATGTAATTTTTTCTACTGAAATAAGTCACGAATTCGAGGATCATTATAAAAGTTTTTCACAAATCGATAAATAACAATAAACTAGATCATAAGCTTTGAAAAAACAACTGCTATTTCTCATAATAAAAAGAGACATTTAAGATTACGGACATGAGTTCGCAAAAAAATCTCAACCTAATTTTATTGTTCTGATAATCAGCATTCATCGCTTATTATTTGCCACAAATTTATTTTGTATTTTATCATAACTCAATTTTTTCTGGAAATAAATAAGTATTTAATGAAAAATGCATGTACATAGGATGGTGTAAAATTGACGGGCTTTCAAAATGTCGTTACTTTTAAAAAAATATTTTCTTTTGGCAACAATATCCTCAAAATACAGAACGAAACGTTTTTTCCAGGGGCGTATATATACTACAGCTTTTATATCTAACTAACTTAGTATTAAACAATTTCTCAATCAGTCCACTAAATAGGCGAAAGGAAAAATACTGTTTAAAACCAATGTCACTATAATGCAAAAATTTGTCCAAAACACTTGATTATACGCATTAAAAGTTTTTTTCGTCTATAGACAATAGCAAAATTAAGAGGTTTTGGAAATTTTCCTCTTTTTTCGATAAAATATAGGTCGAATCGCAGCCCAGCAAGTCTTATCGACCCCCTCCTTTATGGTTTTATAAAGATACTGAAATTCGTGTTACATCCTAGACTTGAAGAAATACAACTATTGTTAATGAAGATGAATGTAGTTTATTTCTAAACTTCTATCTATCTTCGTCAAGTGAAGTAAGAATACTATTTTTCTTGTCATTGTTTTAGAAATTAATTGTGACTCTTCCAGAATTAATATCGGAGTTCATAATGATATATTGGAATTATAATTACAATTGCTTCTTTCGTAAGTTTAATGACAAATTCTGCACTCTTAAATGTTCAAGTTTGACGTTTGAATAATTTCACTAAGAAAATATAACTTTGATTTATTCTGAAGCTATTCTGATTAAGAAATAAAATGATTTATTTTGCTTGATCAAATATTTTTTACATGTGTGCAAAAATTGCTCAATATTTACGATTTATTTTTGAATCAAATTTTGATACGATTTATGAAGCATTTAACAGTGAAAATTTAATTCTAATAATTTCTCTTCTTGCTTATTTTCCTGAAAATAATTATGATAAATTAGAAAACTTTTGTATTGGGCTATCCTTGATATTGAATTATTAAATGTTGTTGTTGTTGTTGTTCTTCTTCTTCTGACAAGAATTACTGAAAAACATTGAATACTGCTAAAAAGAACACTTGTTTTAACTTCAATAAGAACTAAAAGTGTACAGTACAGTTCTTCAATCAACAAAGTCCACTATTAAAGTTTACTTTCCTATATTCTTCGACTTATAACAAAAACATCATTATCACCTATAGCAAATCATATTACTACTTCAAGCAAAAATCAAGCAATTGAAATGGCATTTGACGTATTACAGAATTGTTCGCTTGAAATGAAAGGACGAAGTATTGTGTATTTCAAATATTTATTGATCGTTTTGAACATATATCATGTGATATTAATCGATTTGATAGATATCTTCTTGGTGTTATTATTAATTTATCATTGTTTTTACTGATGGACAAACTAATTGATTGATGATGCTCAAAAAGTAAATATTTGAATCTATTTTTGTTATGTGTGACGTTTAATATTTCATGGAAAAAGCCGCTGTTCGAAGTAACAATGTATTACCGGCTGTATTCAATGCTAAAACTCAACAGCGGAACAAAGAAAATCTGTTGTGCTAGCATGCTGTATCAAATGCTATTAAACTATTAACAAAAGATTACATGTTATAATAGACAAGTCATTTCTACGCTTAGAAGTAGAAATAAAAATCAAAATCAAAGAACACTTTAATAGAACTGGAGTAGTAGACTTCTATATTTTTACAAGACAACACTAAAGAGCAAGTAATGAAAAAGATGAAGTAGGACATGCTATAAGCAATATATTTCTCTCAATACTTCACGTCACAGTAAACAGATTTCGGCTTGGTCAAGATTCAAAGGATCTCTTTTATTTGTATTTTTAATAGCTTTCTAAATGAAATCTTCTCGCACGAAATGTAAAAGTATAGCTATTTGATTATTTATACTGCTATGACGAGTATCTTTTTAGAATACTTTTACCTTCTCCAACACTACGCACGAAAGGATCGATAAATGTAAGAGGTATAAAGAAAACAGGAATCATTGTTCACTTCTAATTCATATATAAAATAAACAACCAAGTTGAAACATCATATTATTTAGGATAAAATAAATTCCATCTCTCTACTTCTTTTTTATTCGTGTTCAAGTGAATAATAAAATTGATACCATGAAACCATATATGTTTACGTCAAAGCTTTTATTTAATTGACACTAAAAAAATTGAAACGAACGTAAATAGAAGGTACAGGGCATGTTAATAGTTGAATTTCTTAAAAATATCACCTTTAAATATTAGATTTTTTTCATCAATGGATATAAGGAAATGTACATAATGTCTTCAACAAACACAGCTATTCAAAAAGTTATTTATTTTTTTGTTTAAAGATAATTTTTGCGGAGAAATATTCAATTTGTAATGATAAGTCTTCATGAACGCTAACAAAAATGAATGCAGCTTATTCACTGAAATAATTCGTTAAATAAAAACATCAAGATTAATATAGTTTTATTTGAATTATATGTATGTGTAAGTCAAAAGCATCGCTTTTTTATCAGATTGTCAAAAGTAAAAGCGATTATTATCGAAAAATATGATATTTTAATGAGATGAAATAGTCCTGGGTTAAAATTTAATATTTGAATTTTGTTCGATTATCTTTTTTATTAAATAACAGCAATTGTTAGATCAACTTGAATGTGTGATCCGTCAACTAGAAACTAAAGCAAAAAATGAACCGCACGACAAGAAGCTTGCGGACCAGTAATTACAACAATCATTTAAGCTATCAGCTCATAAATGCAAGAAATTTACGAAACGACAAGTATTATTGCTGGTGAAATTCAAATATTAGATAACAAGCTTTCTTGAAAAAATGGGTCAGTTAGATTCATTGCTTCTAGGCAATAATTAAAAATTTGCTAACAAAATAAATAGGAGAATATTCTTAATTTAGATGGAAGTATTGGTAAATAATCGTACAGTTGTATTTCATATCACTGATATCGAGATGAAAATCAGAACAGGGTAATGCATATGTTCGTTGACAGAGTTCTTTCTCGAAATCTATGTTCAAAGTCAGAACTTATAGTATTGTTACTAGGTAGTAATAGTAAAATATTTTACAAATGAAGAAAAATTGAATGCCAGATTCGATTTGAAGAACGATAAATTGTTTTCATTTTAAAATATGCAGTGAAATTAACAGACACGAACGTGTTTGGAGAAGTCGAGTTGGATAAACGTTTTTTTAAATAATGAATAAGAAATAAAAATAGTAACTAGTGGATGCACAATCTGCAAGACAAATGTCAATATATTCACCTCCCCCATCATCAACTGACT